TCTCTCTCTCTCTTTCTCTCTCTCTCTCCCACTCTCTCTCTCACCATCCCTCTCCTTCTCTGTTTCCTCTCTCTCTCACTCCTCCGTCCTCGCTCTCCCCCATCGCTCTCCATTCACGCCAGGTTGCCTCCCGAACAAGTTTGTTTACTGTAGATTTGCGTAGTAGACTTCTGTAGTGGTTGTCTTGCTGGATTATCCACCTGTTTTATTGTCTTAGCTTAGCTCAACGATTAGGAGATGAATCGATTGGGATCAAGTTGATGGTATTGTCTCCCCCTCTCTGTGTGTCTGTCTCGAGCGCGCACTCTATCTCTCTCTTTCTATTTCTCTCTCTCTCTCTCTCTCTCTCTCTCGTTCTCTCTCTCTTTCTCTCTCTCTCTCTCTCTTTATCTCTCTCTCTCCCTCTTTCTCTCTCCCTCTTTCTCTCTCTCTCTTTCTTGCGCGCGCTCTCTCTCTCTCTCTCGCTATCCAGCTCTCTCCTTCTCTCTCGCTCGCTCGCTTTTTCTGACTCTGTCTCTCCCCGCCTCCTCCTTCCTCCCTCCCCCTCCTCCCTCCTCCCGCCGACGACTCCCCGCTCCTCCTTCACCCGCTGCTGATCCCCGCTTCTATCCCGCTGCTGCCGCCTCCTCCCACCTCCGCCGCCGTCTCCCCGCTCCCGCCTCCGCCACCCCGCCCATGACCAGGTAGGTTGATCACCCGCACTACCGTCAGTCTCTCTTCGTCTCTGTAGTGAGATCGATTATATCTAGATTGCCAGTCATACCGTCCGACAATGCAGAACGATAATTAATCAAATAAACGTCAATTGAATGCATAACGAGCGCGCGTGCGTGCGTGCGTGCGTGCGTGCGTGAGTGCGCGTGCTGGTGCGGGTGTGCGTGCATGTGCGTCCGTACGTGCGTCTCTGTGTGCGCTCGCGCGTGTGTGTGGGAACAATGTAACAGTGACGTACGCCGTAAGCAATATTGTATTTCGACGCTAACGTTGATATAACTGTTACTTTGTGACTGTAGCTGTGTAACGTACATCTGTAGCACGCATTAGTATTCAAGAATTCCGCCATCCGGCAAGCACCTTAATGAAGTTTCGATTGAATAATTTATTTCAATAGTTTTGTGGGCGCGTGAACTGATTTTGCTACCTACCAACAATTCAGGAACGATGGTGGATCGAGCAATGCACAGAGCTTCATGATCAGAATCTTGCAAAATACTTTTTCTCATTCGATAGAACCAAAAGCTACTGTTCTCTAATTTAGATTTTTAGTTAGTTATCTCTCGTAGGTGCCTGGATGGCACATAAGGCCGTTTTCCAATTAAGAGGCTGATATTCACGCTTCGGGGGCCAATAGCGACTGATTTCATTCGAACGCGCTTTCTGGCACGATTGCCCTAGCTGCGATCAATGCACTAGTTTCCCAACACTGCGAGCATGTGGATGAGACCAACGTTACATTTCATTTGCGAACACCCGCGGCGAGATGCTTCGAAGCGATTTCATTTATACTCGCATGAAAGCGCTACAATTCAACTAGATATTATTCCACGGCGCATCCCCCGGCGCGAAAGAGTTTGGGTAGATTTTATTTGGTAGAGAGAGAGAGAGAGAGAGAGAGAGAGAGAGAGAATCTCTCTCTCTCCCTTCTCTCTCCTTCCCTTTCTCTCCCTCTCACCCTTTGAACTGTGCTAGCATCACTCTCTCGCCGATCATTTCTAGAAACTCATCATAGGCGGCGCTGTGGTCGGTGTTTGCCAGCAGCTCCTGCTCGGACACTTGTCCAGCTCTCTGGTATATCACTCCGAACTTGAACTGATTCGACACGACTTGCTGGTCGTAGGCACAGATCATCTCGGATCCCTGTAGCACGCAAATTTTGTTGTGGTCGCACGAATGTTGTCATCGAATAAAATCGAATCCGACCGCGAAGAGAAACGGGGAAAAGAAAAAAAGAAAGGGTAGAAGAAAGAGAAAGAAAAAAGGGTAGAAGAAAAG